CTTCACGCATCACCTACACAAGTAAATATAAACAAATTACCAAGAACCAAAAACGTGTACAATTGTACATGCATGAACATGTATATTATTTATATGCACAAAAACAAACAGAACATGACATATAATAAGCATATCTGTGCTAAATATGATTATTAATGGTAGGCTGGTAGCTATAACAATACAATTAATAGTGAACATCTCTAGAGACACTATACTCACACTAGATTACAGTACAATACTACAATAGTACATGAACATGCATAACTACATTATTTACTGCACCTCTGATCCTCTGTATAACATACTCCTTAATATCTAATGAAATTAAACACAAAGAATTATCATAATAACAACATTTACTAATAATAACTCACAATATACTTACTTCAGTAGTCATGACAATACACGATGCTGTTGGATTAATGGTAGTGTCTCCGGTCATTAGTCCAACATCTTTAAACTCCTCATACATCTCCCTGTACTTCTGATTACTCAAAGCCTTCAACGGTGTTGTATAAATGACACGTTGACGATCCCTCAGTGATACAGCGATGGCATACTCTGCTACTACAGTCTTTCCTGCTGAGGTATGGGCTGAGACTAGGACTGACTGGTTGTTCTCAATGCATTGGATGGCTTTCCTCTGGAAACTATCCAATTTAAATGGATACTCCTAAAAGGGACACATAATCAAAGCTATAGACATTATTTTAAGTTTGAATGTACATCTACATGTACATGTAGTCCAGGATTAGGGCTGATTATGATTACAATCACAATTAATTGTAATCATGACATGTTTTAACTTTTAACGACAGGTGTGTAATCGTAATCGTATACATGCAGTACCATGTAATCATAGGTTTAATTATAATCATGAATTCGTAATCGACCCCCAGCCCTGACATTTTACATTGTACAGTTCCATTACATGTAGATGTAGAAGCTAGTATATAATCAAGTACACATGTGAATAGCAGCATTGTAGCCAGTTACATGTACACTATAGTAGCATAGTTCATTTATTTCACTTAGTAGGATAATTATACGTGTACATGTACTTATTACACATACAATACACACACGTACATATACATACATACACGTGTACATATGTAAGTTATTTATAACTTTAAGAGTAGCACATGACATACTTTTGCAGGTTTTTCGTTCAGCGGTTTCAAAGACTCAAACTTGTAATTTGCAGGAACAGAAACCTTGAAAAAGAGCAAATGAAAAAAAACATTGATAAATACATGTATACACATGCTCAAAAGTTAAAACTAAAATGTTCATTCATTAGCTATTTTTAAAATAATAATCGTCATGCTGAGAATCACCTTACTTCATGTGTGCAGGTGTCTTCAGTATCAATGTTGACAATAATGGCTGGTTCACCAAAAAACGGAACCCTCTTTGTGCCTTCAAGCTCAGTCCTAAAAAAGACTAATATATAATGGACATTCCTTTTACACACGTACATGTACATGTACATACATGTACATGTATAATGTATATTTGAGAGCAATTTATTTTGGTGATTTTACTATTAAAAATGCACTCAGTGGTTTTTAATTTGGCAATTTTGGTACACGTGTGCATAAGTTTTTGGCAATTTGAATTACTTGAAACTTGCCAATAGCCCCACCCCCACAAAATTAACATACAACACATCTTAAATGTACATGTACTATATGTATAAAGGTGCAAATTAAGTCAAAGCTCAAAAAATCAAACAGTAAAACTGTATTACTGTACAACAAATCATTTTATAGTTACCTCTCATCTTCTTGCTTCTCAGTGGAGTCATCATCATCAGCTTCAAGACTGTCCAGGTCTAGTTTCTGTCTTTTGGTACGAGTGGCCGAGGACTCGCGCGGGGAAGAGGAACCATTAGACGAGGCTCTTTTGGCTGGCCTTTTCTTTTCACTCCCAGTGCTAGACTCTTCATCAAAGACGCTGAAAAGGTCACCAGAGAACAGCGCCATTTTAAACACCACGTGTCTCTAAATTTTAATTTCAAAAATTGTCTAAAAATTTGATTGGCCATCCTCAAAATTTTTTGAATTTTTTGCAGACCTAGCCCGTCCCACTAGCAAGTTAGTCAGCTCACAACGTGATAAAATGTCTTCTTCTCTGGTCATTTTCTTCTCTTTCTTGGCTCTGACTGCTGTGGCCAAAGACGTCGAGCTTCCCAGATTCACTGTTGATCTTGACCAGCCACCAGAAGAAAGATGGACGGAGATTGCTACCCAGTATACAAAAGAACTGAAGGAAACAGTGGAATACTTTGCTAAAACTTATGACGAATTATACGCCATGCTCAGTATACTTGGTGGAGACATAGACAAGTATATACCAGATCCTTATGCTGGGGAAATAAAAGGAATAGCCTCCACTACTGGGGTTACTGCTGGAGAGATCCTCTTTATTAACATTATTTATGGACTGACAGCATTTGGTGATAAAAGCTCCTCGAGCAAGTCTCTGCTAGGCTGCACGAGTATCGTGAGCCAAACAGAATCAGGGAATATTCTACACGGAAGGAATCTTGATTATGGTATTAGCCTCCTACGTAATATAGCAATTATTGTTGATTTCCAAGTGTCAGAAGTGACTACATTCACTGCCACTACTTTTGCTGGTTATGTCGGAGTCCTTACTGGGCAGAAAGCAAACTCCTTCACAATTTCGCTTGACGAAAGAGATCAAGGTGACTGGCACGGCAATGTCATGGAAGCTCAGAAACTTGGTACAAGCGGATTTATAAGTTTTAAAATTCGTGACCTTCTTGATGATTATTCGTCTGATTTCAAAAAGGTAGTGAATACGATTGCCAGCACTCAATTCATAGCTCCTTTTTATGCTATAGTGGGGGGAGTCAGTGGTGATGAAGGAGCTATTATAACTCATAATAGAACAACTGGTATTGATGTCTGGAGACTGGACAGTTCTGAGAATCGCTGGTTTATACTTGAGACTAATTATGATCACTGGACACCACCTCCTGAAAGTGATGACAGACGAGATCCAGCTAATAAAATGATGAATGAGACTGGGTTATCTAATGTATCTAGTGATTCTATGTTCAAGATACTGTCAACTCCTCCAGTATTAAATGATGGTACTATATTTACGGTACTGATGTCTGCTGCTGATCCAACTCTATATACTGGATGGATTAGGAATCCTGATGACAGTTAACAAATTTAGTACTTCTGATTGTGTTTTTGCTGCTATGTTACTATTATTAACATTTATAATGATGCTGTCAGTGTTTTGCAATGAATAGTACTTAGATCTAGTTCTCCTGCTAACTATATAGTAAAGCCCTAGCTAATGCAGGCATGTGTAAACTATCATGAGAATAGACCTAGCCCATCTAGACCAGACTATACAGACTTGCTAGATAAATCTAATAACATTATCATGTGAAAGTTTTCATTGCTTGGTTTGCTTGGATTTATCAGCAGTCATGTGAGTTTGAAAACAAAAATTCCTAGAAGCAAAGCACTCTAACACAGCAAAAAATCAAACAATTAATCCTAATTTTATTTGTTTTATTAGAGTCAAATGTTTTGTTGGATTCCATATCCACTTCTAGTGTTGTTTCTAGTCAATGGTATGTTGTTGTCCCTTTGCTGGACTGGCAGTTGTAGATCTAGATTGTTTAATTGCTGACCCGCTATAGGCTGTCGATTAGATCTATTTCTGTTTTGTTGCGTTTGCTGCTGACGATTGGTTCCATTTTGTTGCATTTGCTGCTGACGATTGGTTGCATTTCGTTGGGCCTGTTGTTGACGATTAGTTCCATTTTGTGGGGGCTGTAATTGCTGATAGTTTGCTGTGATATCATCGTAAAAAGTAAACAGCCCTTGTGGGTAACAGAAGAATGCCATAACCAGTGGAGTCCAACTATCAATTTGATACTTTTCCATTGCTACCATTGCCTGATATGATAACGGGTAATCTAGTGTTCCAAACAAACCGTTGCAGATAGCATATACAATATAAATCAAAGATTGTATTACGACAACAATAACAATACACATTCTTGTTTTGCCAGTTGTTAATCGTCTGCAGCATAATCTGTTAAAAAAGATCCTCACATAAATGAAGTCAAATATTTGAAATAGCAATGGTGGCACAATGTACAAGAACCCACCAAGAAGTGATATTATTTTGATAGGCTCAAAAAGTACATCAAAGCACACATAGTAGGTATCTTCAAAATCAATTTCGATATCCTTTGGTAGCGAACAGTTAAAGAATGGTTTAAAAGTATCACCAGAGTCCTCAGTAAAATAACAGTCGCTGTAAGCAGTGCAGTAATCAAGATCAAATGTGGTGCAATTAGAGTACGATAGCAGCAATATAACGACGGATAATAGTACTGCCAGATTGAGATAAACAAGACCATCTATCACTGGACTTGTTATAGAGTACAGCCTTCCATTAATTTTCAATTTCGGAGGAGTCATCGTATCCATAAACTCAACGACTTTGGATCCAAAAAATGTCTGAGAAAGTCCAACAGTCCATTTAGCACAAAGCATACTTGGTTTGCAGAATGTGGACTCAGAACATGCGAAGGCGCAAAAGCTTTTAAAATCTAGACATATTTTGTATCCAATAATTAAAGAAGAAGCGACGAGAATAACTTGTTGAATATTTGAGTAAAAATCAAAGCTTCTCCCATGATGATCCATGATTGAGGATGGCTCACCCCAATTATTAATGCATGACGTGATTTTGCCTTTGCGTGGGTGAACTTGACTCAATGATGGCTGCGTCTGCCTAGTGTTTCTTTTAATATTTTCCATACAAATGCAAGCTCAAGCTAAAGATGTTCTTATTCCCAATTACGACATCAATCTTGAGCTCCCTCAAAATGAGCGCTGGAAGCAAGTAGCCATTGACTGCAGTCAAGACCTAAAGGAACTGATTCATTACTTGAATTTACTTCAGAGAGCCTAGACTAATTGGAAACAACTCTTATCACATGCTCTCCATCATGGCTGCCAGCCTAGAACGTTATTATCCTCAAGAATATGCTCAGGAGATGATGAG